TCAATGGGGGTTAACTACCTTAGCATTTGATAATTGGGTTCTTCCATGCTTTGGGCCATGAACTATTTTGGGGAATCCTTTGTAGTGGCCTATGACTAGAAGGAATGTTTTTGTGTGTTTTTCTTACACTTGTTCAAATTTTTGGTCAAAAATTGTCACTTTAACTTGCATTCTATTAGTAAATTTACCCCAAATATTTTCCACATTGCAGCTTCTCTGCATGGCATCTTCTCTGTAGGGACAGGAAAGCTCACATATGGAAAAATATATTAAGAAGTTTAAACTAAAAGAGAGCAGGTTTAGACTAAATTTTAGGAATAAATTGTTCCCTGTGAGATTGCTGAGGCCCTGGCACAGGATGCCAGAGAAGCTGTGGCTGCCCCTGGATCCCTGGAAGTGTTCCAGGTCAGGCTGGATGGGGCTTGGAGCAACCTGGGCTAGTGAGAGGTGTCCCTGCCCATGGCAGGGGCTGGAACTGAATGATCTTTAAGATCCAGGCCATTTCATGTTTCTAGTATTACCTGTCCTTATAACAGCATTTCTTCTTGATTTATCTTTGGCTCAAATCTTTTTTTTTTTTTTTTTTTTTTTTGGTAATGTATTCCATCAATCTGTAGGTTGAGTGTCCAAGTGTGATACATGTTCTAAATATTAGGCTTTTTGCTGTTTAATCTGCCAAGATACAGTTGGTGGTGTTGCTGTCCCCATCCCCCAAGTCACCATTCTTTGGTCACATCCTCCTGGACACAGTCTGCAGAACTGACTGAGACTTTCTTTTTAGCACCCCACTGCAGCAGCTTCTAATGGTCACTGCCTTATTCTCCAGAACTCAATTTCACAGCATATTGGAGGTGACACACCTTAACTGCAGTGGAGAAGGCTTTATTTTCATCCCTTTCAATTGAATTAATGCCTGTTTGGGAGCACTCTGCAGGTGCAAACTGGAACTGGGGTACAACACACGTTAAATGGAAAATGGTGAATAAGGTGCTCCTTGGTAAACTTTTGTTACAGGCAGCTCTGTACTGCCAGGCTTTATAAAGTTTAACAATCTCATTAATCTCCTGCTGTGGTTTTACCTTCCAGTGGCAGGATTAGACATTTAATTCTCTACTAGACTGTAAGTAGCACTGAGACATTTTGGTTCTAAAGTTGTTATATAGCCATGGAAAACATCGTTTTGGTGGGCATTTAACCTCTTTGAGCTCAATTATGGCTGTGAGCTGACTATGATAAAAAAGCCCTAAATAGTGCTTAGAACAGTAGAGCATGATACTATCAAAACCAGCAACTTGACTGTGCACCATAAACTGATGAAATTGACTGAACTGGAAAGATATAAAATCTGCCTGTGCACCATTCGTGCTTTCAAAAATATTTGCAGGTCTTGATGTTTTCCTTCTGTATTTTTTTGTTGGTCTGGCAAAATTTATTAATGTACACTAATAAAGTTTTCTCTCTGACAAAATGAATTAAGCAAGACTTCAATTTTAACGTGCTTCCTCCTCTAATAAATGAAGTTTCATGTAGTGGAATTTGTGCTTCGAATTCATCTCTAAATTAGAAATCCAGTGGGGGGAAAAAACCCTAAAGCATTGTCTTATGAGTAATAGTGTGTGTCATAATATTTACATCAGAGCACAGCACAAATTAAGGCATTGCAAAGGCATTTGTTAATGCAGGTGCATGAGCAAAGCTCTGGTGCTGGTTTTGGAATAAAACACAAGAGGCTTTTGCTGCTTGCCTTATGACCATTCAAATTCAAGTCACAGCCTTTTCCCATTTCCTTCCCAACTGACATTACCTGGATGAAACTGAAATCTGGGTGCACAAGCCCTCACTTAGACTGGACTTTGTTGCAGTATGCACAGGAACACACAAGATTGCTTTTGCAGTAGTTATTTACCTTGATGAATAGCCCTAATTGGATCAAATAGACTGGTAATGGTGAGCCAGTACTTTTAAATGTCTTGTCTTGTGCCATTAATATTACCTTGTCATGTATCCATTTGAGCTCTTGGATGAATGTCTTGCCTTCATACTGCTGTCACATTTAACAAATGATTTTGTCAAGTCGTTCTTTACAGCTTATGGTGAAGGATGGCAAAATTTGTGGTCTCCTGCGTACATAAAACCTGTTAACTCTACCTTTCAACTTCAATGCAAAGGCATCCCAAAACTCAGATAACAAATTCCTAAGGAAATTATAATGCCTCTTTACAAGAGGGGCCACAAATATTCTACTGACATCTATGATTAACACAGCAGAAGAAAAATAGAATGTATTAATTTTGTATTTATTAAGCCTGTGACAGTCAGAATTCAGATTCTTTTTTTTCAGCTGCAGCAATTATGAACCTCAGAGGACAACACACAGTTACCATTAGAAATGAGATACCCATTTTATTCATTCATTTTGATTCAGAAAGAGCTCTACTGTATATTTACTATGGTAAACCCCAAATTACTGGTTAGCTGATGCTCTTGCTGTCCTTTTTATTGATTTCTTGTATGTGGTTGTAGGCTGAAGATATTTAACACTGATGAAAATAAGCTGCTTACTTGAACGTCCTGAGACTACTGTTACAATTCCATGGGGTATATTGTTATAACCCGATCTATAACACCACATTACCTTAGATTAAAAATTGAATTGCTTGTTCACTGAATAAATACAAGCCTTTGGAACAGATCCCTCCTTGTGGCAAGATAAAAACAGAAAAGTGTCGGTGCTCATTAAGCATTTAAAGTAAGGTTTTTTTTAGTGCAGTGGACAGTAGGTTTTCACTGGCACATACTGAACTTGAGCAAGTGGAATTTTTTAAGGATCTTACACTGAGAATGAGCTGGAAGCCACATGGGATTTTTAAAAGCTTTATATGTTCTTTTGGAAATTCTACCTTTTGGCCTTTTTCAGTATAATAGGCATCAAAATCTGAGTATGGGTACACAAATGAGGCATCTGACTTGGAGTTTGCCAGCAAGCCCTGGGAAATGGATGTCTACAGAGGAGAACTATGCAAATTTGTGATGCACCTTCTCTGGCAGCATTTCTCCCTTAATGCTGGCTATTGGTGAAACTATTGATTGAATAGGGAATCATAGAATATCCTGAGTTGGAAGGGACCCACAGGCATCATTGAGTCTAACTCCTGGCTGTCCTGCACAGAGCAACCCCAAGAATCCCACCATGTGTCTGAATTTTAAGTTTTTTTGTTGTTTGGTTTTTTTTTAATGAATACAGAATGGAAATCTATCAACCATAGAATGCAGGGTGCTGTGCTGCTGCAGTATTCTCTGACACTGAGCATCTTAGAATATTTTTTCTTTAAGTGTTTTGATGTACTTGGAGTAATATTAGTATTTCTATTGAGATGGTACCTATGAAAACTATTCATGGATTGGGGTCTCGTGTGAAATGCTGTGCAAATAGACCCAAATAATGGTCTGAAAGAGCTTTTAATGCAGGAATAAAGTAAGAGTCAGCAAGCAGATAGCAGCAGATTGATGAGAGAAAAAATAAAGAGTACAAGATGGAAATGTAATAGGTGGTAGCAAACACACACCAGCTTCCAAACTGTTGGCAGGTCTCTGATAGATGATTCTTTTCTTCTTTTTGTCTTCTTTCCTCCCCCTGTTTGTATGTGTTACTGAGTTAGCTATTCTGAGTGCCTTTAATCATTTTGAAAGTGGAAAAATAACTTTCCAGGTTGAATCTGAGTAGAATTAATTTTTAAGGAGAATTGAGAACTGCTTAATACATCGACTGCTTCAGTTGTGATGGAAATAAAAGGAACACCTCCTACAAGCACCTATATGCTATTTTGCTTTGCTTGTTTTTACTGCACCACTCAGGGAATGAAGGAAAATATTCAAAGTTAGCTTTCCCCTTATTCAAATAGAACTGAGAATTGCTGTCATCAAACAGCAAATCCATCTTGGATTGTGTATTTGCAATGTCTGACAATAGGCCAGTTTTCAGTGTGATTGGGTGTTTTGATGGCACCTTCTCTAGCTAAAGCTTTTTGTCTGGGCTGCAGAATAGAGAAAATTACCTCTCTGGATGCTTCATCTAACTAAAAATGCATGATTTAAGGAGACTAATGGCTACCCAAGCCTCCAGGCTGAATAGCTCCCAGCTTCTGTTTGAGTCTACAGTTTTTCATTCTTAACAACCCAAAAGCTGGAGAAAACATAATCAAGATGTTTCTGATCCACAATCCTACAGAGAAATTAAGCTTCCAGGAAGAATTATTTAAGATTTTAGTCATCTTTCTGGCTGTCTTTCAAATTTTAGTGAAGTTTGACATTAATGGTCACTAGCAAGGTGGAAAAGAGGTTAGTGACATCATTCTTACAGTAACATTGTTTCAAATAGATGTTTATATGGACTAATGGGTGTTAAATCTTCAGTAACTTGAAAGGTGTTTTTTTCTTCCTTTAGAATAAATTATAGTATGTTTTCTAATCTGCCCGGAAAATGCTAAAAAGTTTTTCTGTTTATGCTTCTTGGAGCTATTCAAATGGGAGTACAAAGCACAAGGCATCTGCTACACAAAATATTAATTATTGCATGGAATACTATTCACTGGAGGAATTAGAGAAGGCTTAGAAATATTCAGGCTAATATTTTTTAGTGGTTGCTTGGAGTTAAGCACCTTAATCCATATTTGGCGTTTTAGTGAGCTGAACTGTTTTTTTCAAGTAGTGTGCAGCTTTCAATTCTCATCAATTTGCTGTGTCTTACATGAGTTATCACCATCATTCTGTACAGATCCATTCAGGCCAGTAGGATTAGGTGTATGTCAGCACAAATCCCGGGAGGGATTTGCAGAGCCTAGGCCCTCAAATTTTTAATTTTGCTCGCCGGAAATATTGAAGAAAAGAAAGCAAAAAGCCCAAATGCCCACAAATGCAACACATCAGTGTTTAAATATGAACAGTGGGAAGGTGTGCTGGTGAATGCCCTTTATTTACTGGTGTGCTGTCTTTGGTCACAGCTCCGGAAGGCAGTGATGGATCACATCTCAGATTCATTCCTGGAGACCAACGTCCCTCTGCTGGTTCTCATCGAGGCCGCGAAGAGCGGGAACGAGAAAGAAGTGAAGGAATACGCTCAGGTCTTCCGTGAACACGCCAACAAGTTAGTGGAGGTAAGTGACCTTCCTGACACGGCCACACTTCCTCCTGGCACCTCTAGGGTCAGGATTTGTATTTCTCTTTAAAAGCTGAGCAGTTGTTAGTTGCTGTTGGTTTATTGGAAAGGCACGTCAGTCTCAAAAGACAAGGAGTCACAAGTGTTAAAGTCTGTGCTAAAAGCTTTCAGCATAGAGTCACAAATAGAAGTAAAGTCCTGATTTAGAAGTAGAAACAGCTCCTGGTGCAAAGCCCCAAGAAGGCCAAAGTTGCAGCCTGGTACAGAGTCCTGAGCAGTGGCAGAGGCTGCAGGCTGGTACAGAGTTTTGAGAGGCAGATGCTCCCTGTGTTTTTTTTTTTCTTCTTCTGTTCTTGTTCTTCCTCTTCTTGTGATGGTAGTGATGATGATGATGATGGAGGAAGAGAGAGCGAGAGAGGGCTCTCACTGCAATACATAGATTCTTATTTACAAATTACCCAATGAGCTAAAAACACGAATCTGAAGCATTTCTTCTAAACCTATTAGAATTCTAGTTCCTTAGTATGAAAGTTTCCATATAATCTACACATATAGCCTATCTGTTCTATCTGAAAAATGTAAGCAATATTCTTACTATATTTTTATTACATCTAAAACTATGTTTTGCAGCTCTCACAGAGACTTGTTTTTAAAACTTGTTTTTTACACTGTTATCTAGGACTATGTTTTCAAGCTCTCACTGCATCTTGTTGATCTCTCTCAGGAACTCAGAGAGGCCTCTGTTTTTCAGACTTCAACACTCTAGGAGAGGCAGGAAAAGTTATACAGTGGGTGAAATGTTAGAGCTGTTGTTTCAGGAGTTTTGGTCAACTTTATACAAGTGATTGCCCAGGAAATGTTTGGATGATGGGCAGAGGAAAGTATTGTGTTTTAGTAGTTCATTAAAGCAATTGAGCATGTTAGAAATGGTATTTCCAGCAGTTTGTCAAAAGACATGAGCAACAAGAATTAAATTTCAGTTCAGCTTCACTAACGGTACAATTGAGCTAAATGTCTATTAAGGAAAAAGACAAATCAGTGCTTCACCATCTAGTCCTGGCCAAGGACTGCTCTAGACTTAATTATTTGTCAGTCTGAACTAAAACAGGAAGAAGGACCTACAGAGAAGACACAGCTTGAATAACTTATATGGTTTTGAAAGGTCTGTATTTCATATATAAATATATACATATATTTATAGTATCTTCTCTTTCTGAAGAGACACACTGTAAAGTCAACCAGTGATAGTTACAAGTCTTCAGGGATGATATTGAAATAGCTTAATTCTACATGAGGAGTATAAAATATAGTGATTGGACCTTGGATACTCATGGAATGGACATCTAATAAAATTAAAATGTTCATCTCGGTTCGTCCTCCAACAGGCCAAGAACTATGAAAAATGTTTGTTTTTAAAGACAAATGTAACTCAGTAATTTGTTCAATAACATTGTGTGGCACTTTTCTGTACTAGCAACATTTTGAAGGCTTTGTAGCCCCTTTGCAACATATTTTCTTGTCACACAATGTGCTGTTTAGAAAAGGGAAATGTAATTAGGGAACTACTGATCTGACAAATACTGAACTATACCTCTGAGTGAATTGTGTTAAAACAGGGATCATCCTAATTCTGTAGAGCCTGAGCTGAGGTGAAGAGTAAGAGTTAATATTGGTGAATATTGACTAAATCTGGATAGTTCCCTGATAAAATAAGTGCCTGGACGTGATTTTGCAGTGGGAGTGTGTTTTCAAATGGAGCCTCTCATTCTTGCCATGTACCAAACAGGGAGTCAAGGTACCTTATTCTGCTCTGGAAATCAAGTCCAATATAGGACTTAACTTGTATGTACCTAGAGGAAGGTCTTGGGGGTCTAAAATTTCTGTACAGTGCTGAATCCATTAAGGGTTATTGCTTTTTTCTGCAAGAGGATCACAGGGCTCTCAGCAGCCTTCAGTCCCAGCCGCTGTGTATATGCAAAGATTTATTGCTGCCTCCTTGTGACTGGAGCTGTGGCAATGAAAAAGGAAATAGCTGGTAGGTATATAAAGACTGAGGAAAAAAAATCCCTAAACAAATGGAAAACCCCTCCACAATGTTTGTTCATAGTTACATTATTGTGGCAGTGGAGTTGTAGGCTTATATGCAGTGAGCATATGTGGGGTTAGTGTTCTAGCAGTCACATCCTCCACAGATTTGCAACAAAGTGTTGCAATGACAGGTTTAATAGCATTATTAAAAAGTTAAAAATAACTAAGTAGATATTTTAAAAATATCATAAGAGGTAATGGCATAAAAGGAGGAAAAATACCTTTTAGGGGTGTAGTTAAAAAAATAAAAAGCCAAAAACTCCCTGCCAGGAAAACCCACAACTTTAATGGGAAGAAGAAAGAACTGTAATGCTCTTAAACTGTTAGAGGGAGAATTTAGGTTTGTTCTTAGGAGGAAATTCTTTACTGTTAGCGTGGTGAGACCCTGATGCCCCAGAAAAGCTGTCCCATCCCTGGAAGTGTCCAAGGCCAGGCTGGACAGGGCTTGGAGCAAGCTGGGACAGTGGAAGGTGTCCCTGCCCATGGCAGGGGGTGGGACTGGATGAGCTTTAAAGTCCCTTTCAACCCAGGTCATGCTGTGATTCTATGATTCTATGAAACCCAAAGAAATTGAACTGTTTTAGTTATTTAGTCTTGGTTTTACAAGCCTAACATTACATTAGATTTGTATTTTACACCAAACTGAAGGTTGGTTAATGATTTTTGACATGTGGTTAACTTGTACCTCACCAAAAAGCAACAGTATTGGTATCAATAGATGTCTTGGGTCTGATAGCTAGTATTTTTATGCCATTTAGGTTGTTCCAGACTATTAGAAGCAGATTCTTAATTGAATCTTGTACGTCTGTGACAGCTGGTACTGGCTTGTGGATGCATTCTTACTTTTTTCTAAGGATGAGTTCTTTTAGGTGGATCCTGCCCTTTAAGTTGTAAGACCTATTTCTGGTTCAGGTAAAAAGCATCTTGAAGAAATGAATTTCTAATGCAAGTGGAATTTTTAACCTCAAATTTCAAGTTCATCAGTCTGCAGAAGCAAATACGTATTTGGAATATATTTATGTCCCTTTTATACTAGATTTTGCACTTCAAACAATTTCATCACTTTTACTTACTGATGCACAATGGAATCTTAGCAGATGGACTTCTCTGGTTTTGTGGGTCAAGTATCTTGCAAATAGTAAAATGTGGTTTAAAGATGAGACATAATCAAGTGACTATGAAATGTAAGATGCTTTCCCAGGCACGGGGCCAGAATTGCTTGTGAAGATATGCAAACACAGCTCTGCTGAAGTGCGTGGAGCTGCACTTGCTCATGTTAGAGGAATTTGGCACTGCCAGTTCAATACTGTGAAAAGTCTGTAGTATTAATCATTAATTTTGAAATCTGAATCTGAATTTCTTGGATGTCCTACCAAGCTCAATAGACAGCCTGTCAAAAGGTCAGGAAAAATAATGCATGTTTTAATATTTCTTTACACCAAACCTACATTTTTCCATCCTGAGGGAAAAAAAAATGCACTTCTTGATATTTGTTGCATACAAATGGCAGAATTTTCTCTGCATAGCCAATACATTTTTAAAAATATATTTTGTCAGCTTGAGCCTTAAGGAGGTTAAATTTCTTTTATAGTCCATATTGCAGAATATTTAAATCTTCTCTCAAAAGCTGTTTTCATTATATAATATTTTCCCTTCCCCACCTCTTACCATAACATTAATAACAACAAAGATGGATTGTCATTTTTTGAGACATTCACTGACAACTTGATTTGTCTATGGGTTTTGTTGGAAGCAGAGATTGAGATGTCACTTAACTATAATGTAAATCATACAAAATAGATCAAATTGTCAGACAGATTCGGGGGGTAAAACATAATAATATAATAAAACAGAATTTAGATGGTATCATTCCAGGCTTGGATGGATAACTTTTTTCCTTAGAATGTTTTTTCACAGCCATCTCTTTTTTTTTTTTTTTTCCTGCCTTCTGAAACTGAGGTTAGAGAAGTGATGGTGCCTTTCTGGGCCATGATCTTTACCTCATGAATCCCGTTATTTTTTTATTTTTTAATTATCTCTAATGACTGAAGGTAAATGCCTGAGTTGTAATGCCAGCTTCAGATGTAACCTTGGGAAGTCATTTAACTTCCCTACCCAAGCACCTTCAATAGTAGCATAAGGTTAATGACAGATAATTCGAATACCTACCACACAAAGGCACTTGACTGATAAATCAGCTCAGATTTATTCAATGCATCTATCAAAGCCCTATAAGGAAGGTAATTAATTAATTTTCATTATTCTGTTTAGTAGAGGGTTTTTTTTGTTTTAACTGTTGGTCCCCTGGACTGTTTCTTAAATTATTAAATCTAGCAAGTTTTTCTGGTAGATGAAATTCAGCATCCAGTAAAGTCTTACGAGCCATGGTAGCAGGCTGTTCAGTTGGAATTCAAATTGTAGTGGATTGGATCAGACTTTCCATTCTCAAAAGGATGGACATAAGTCCAAGAGATCTGTACTAATTGTTTCAGTCTGGGGAGTTTTAATGCTTTTATGGAAATACTTCACCATTTTGGTGGTCAGTGAGCACTGACAAGAGTTAAACTCAGTTGCATTATTCTTATTTCCAACAAAACCTGAATGAAGGGTTTTTTTCTTCTTCAGTATGAATTGATGAAGTACCACATTTAAAACACCTAAAAATGAACTTTTCAAAATTCCCTTACCAGTATTGCATGAATTGATTTTTATGGAGAATTTTCCCGTATGGATCTATCAGTTTCACCTCATACAAAATTAAAAGATTTCTGGAGACATGACAGATAATCAAAGTTGCCTTGTAAGACCACCTGGCCAGTGGAAGAACTGAGTTAGGCAATGGTTTATGGTGATTTAAAGTTGATAAGGTGCAAGCACTTCAATAATATCCTAAGGGTGGGTGGTCGTTTG